TGTAAAAAATGAGTATATTGTATAAGAAAATAAAACTGTGCCTTGGGACAGTTTTTACTGGAATGATACCTTCTGCCAGGTGCAAACAGGTACTCCATAAGGTGGTAATTGCTCTGGCACATACACCAGAGTTCAAGGTCTGCTCCTCAGTAGCTTTGCCAGCTTAGAAATTTGATATTATGTTCCAGAATAGTTTACTCTCAAGAATACAAATTCACACTAACAAAAGTCCCTAAAGACTGATAAATAAACCAGGTTATTAATGTATAGCAAGTGTCAACCAATGAAACTAACTACTCCATTGAACAGGCAGTGGCTGGATGAATGTGGAATATGATTTGGTCCTTTAGTGGAATCTCACTGTGATTGACAGACACAGACTTTATTCTACACAATTGATATTTTTGAGAAGTAACCAGGAAGCTATATAAGCTGGGCAAGCTAACATCTCCCCTGGATAAAGAGTTCTTTGATGGAAGCTGGTACTGATTGTGTGATTATTCTTTTTTTATAATTCCATGAATAGCCCCAGATTTGATCAGCATTAGAATTCCATGAATAGCCCCAGATTTGATCAGCATTAGAATTCCATGAATAGACCCAGATTTGGTTGATACTAGAATTTTCCCTCAGGGAAATATATATAAAATTAGATATAGAAGTGTTTACTTATTTAGAAGGACAAAAGAAACCACATTTACAACTTTAGGGAGCTGATAAATATAAAAAAACATTATAAAATCTACAAAAAATATATACTTGCATTAATATTAACTAACTGCCTGATTACCATTTAATATTTTTCTTACATTTTGAATTCCTTCTTCATATGACTATAATTTTGCAATATCATTTTCTAGAGAGAGAATAGAAAGATACTTAGGTCTTTCCTCTAGCACGGCATATCAAAATTTGTTTTGTATTATAGAAGTTTAGAAAAGTTTATTTTACTTTCTCAAGTTGTTATTATAATGCCACATCTGTATCCTCCTCCCTGGTTTCTTGCTCAGGCAGCGGGGAACGAGTGGGGACCCCCTTGGAGGACCCCAGCCCTTTGATCTCCCTGACTCGTAAAGCGCCCTGCTGCTGCAGCTGCGCCAGCACAAACATCAGCCCTTGTCTCACTTCCCTACCCACTCTGCCCCTGTGGTCCTGCTCGGAGGAGTGAAGAAGATGGCCATGAACCTGGGTTGTGGGAGCTTCCAAACTGCTCTTCAGCCTCGAGTCCAGATCTTCTCCTTGGGGTCAAACTTAGTGCTATGATGTATCCAGATCCACATGGGCCCATGGAGATATTTCTGGAAGTGGAGGCCCACTCCTGGCCCCAAGACTGGCCCTAACCAGTTTAGAACAGACCCCTAACCCCCAGGTTTGGCCATCTTTCTCCACCGAGAACACAGTAGGCCTTGAGCAGAGCCTAGTGAGTGTGGGTCCTGAAGTTTAAGCTTCATCATAGTTGGATAAGTAGAACCCTGCCTCAAGCAAGTTAGACAAGCCTTAGTAGGGGACCATCCTCTCTCGAAGGGGGTTAAACATACAGATTTCAGACCCTTCTCTGCGGGTTCTGCTCCGAATTGGAGGCAGCACCCAGACTGTGTTGTTGTTGTTGTTGTTGTTGTTGTTGTTGTTGTTGTTAATCCTCACCCGGGGATATTTTCCATTCATTCTTAGAGTGAGTGAAAGGGAAGGGGAGAGACAGAGAGAGAGAGAGACATCGATTGGTTACCTTCTGCACTTGCCTAGCCCGGGCCAGGGATCCAGCCTATAACCAAGGTATGTGCCCTTAACTGGAATTGACCCTGAAACCTTCAGTCTGTGGGCCCAAACATCCAGGGCAGACTGTATTTTTAAATACCCTAGCTGATTCTTACACTCTGATACATTTAGAAACAGGGCTTTGAAGCAACATAATATATCTCAACTTTGAGCTTTTAAACGTAGATTAAGTAGGCAGTTTATTGCCCATAATAGGAAATTTATTGCCTTCATTTACACGTTTTTAAGGCATGACTATGTGGACGTGTGTGTATGCATGGTAGTGGTGTGTGTATGTGTGTGTTTTGTGTGTGTGCATCTGTATGTGTGGTGTATGTGTAGTGTATGAAGTGGGGTGTGCAGCCCCAGAAATCCGGCACAGCTTCCTCAATGTCTATCTGGTTTTATGCTTTGGAAGCAGAAAGACCTATATTTGAAATTTTGCTCCACCACTTGAGATTTTGAAACCTGCAAAATATAGATAACAATACTTACTTCATAGATTTGAAGAAGTGTAAATGGGAAAACAATCAGTAAACAGTTGCTTATTTAGTTATACATTTCATTTTCTTCTGCCCCCCCCTTTTTTTTAATCCTTAGCCAAGGATATGTTTATTGTTTTTAAAGAGAGAGGAAAGGAGGGTGAGAGAGAAACAACTACATGTTTGTCTTCTGTACACACCCCTGCTTATGTGCCCTATGGGGATTCGAATCCGTGGCTCTTTGGTGCACAGGACAACGCTCCAACTAACTGAGCCACATCGGCCAGGGCTAAACAAATGTGCTTCTTTACTTTACTCCTCTTAAACAATAACATATGTGAAATCACTTATTTAAAGTTTAGTTGTGTTATGATACATGGTAACATGAATATATAACTATTTTTTTAAATGTTTCCTTGAAACACCTGAAGTCATGTTCCAATGTCACTGGGGTACAAGCGCTAGGCTTCAGCAGCATTGGCCAGAACTAACGCATTCTCCAGATTTATCAGTGAGCAGGATCCCGCTCCTTCTGCTAATGGCCTGTCCTCAAATAGGTACTGCTGAGTCTGTTGCATACATTTACCACAGCCAGAAAACAACTTGGAAAGCCCAGAGTTAAGCACTAAATAAATCCCAAGAAATCGTCAAACTTTCTTGATAGCATAGTGGACCTGTATCATAGATCTCTTCCAGTTGATCTCTAGCTTATACTGCTTTTGGAATTCTATTATTTGACAGAAGTAATGAATTATTTTTTTAAACGACTGCATCATCAAATTTCCCAAAGCAAATATGTTTAAACATGGTTTAATAAACTCACAAGAATTATAAACGACTTATCAGACTTTGAAACAAACTGCATTACTAATATTTTTAACTCCTTATTTTGAAATAATTATAGAATCACAAAAGTTGCAAAAAAAAACTTTACAAAAAGATCCTACCAGCTCATGTTTAACATCCTACATGATTTCAGTACAATAGTAAGACCAGGTAGTCAACATCTGAACAAACCAAAATGCTTATTCAGATTTTACTAGTTAACATAAACTCCTTTGTGTGCACATGTGTGTTTAGTTCTAAGCAATTTTATCATAGGTGTAGGTTCATGTATCTACCATTAGAGTCAAAATATAAAAAGTTCCATTATCACAAAACAGCCTGTGCTACTACCCCTTTATACCCCTTTACATCAACCCCCCAACCCTAAGGCCTGGCAACTACTGATCTGTTCTCTTTCTCCATAATTGTGTTATTTAATAAAAGTTATATAAGTAGAACCATGTAGTATGTAACCTTCTGAGATTGGCTTTTGTCATTCAGCGTAATTTCCCTGAGGTTCATGCAAGTTACTGTGTGTATCGATAGCCTATTTCTTCTTGTTGCTGATTAGTATCCCGTGGTTTGGATGTTTAACCATTCACCCACTGAAGGACATTTGGGTGGTTTCCAGTGTTTAGCTATTACAGCTGTTATGAACATTCATGACCAAATTTCTGTGAGAAAATAAGTTTTCATTTCTCTGAAATATGTACAATGGCTGGGCTGTGTTGGAAGCGCATTTTTAGTTTAAGGAACTGCCAGACTATTTTGCAGAGTGTCTGTGTCTTTGATACACTCCCACCAGCAATGCATGATGATCCAGTTACTCTGCAATTTCACCAGCGCTGGGTATTATTCTGATAGGGGTGTGGTGATCTCTGGTGGTTTTAATATGCGTTTCTCTGGTGGCTGATGATGAACATCTTTTCATGTGCTTATTTGCCATCTTTTTATATCCTCTTTGGTGAAACATCTGTTCCTGTCCTTTGCCTGTTTTCTAAATGGATTGCTGGTAGTATTTTTATATTGAATTTTGAAAGTAATGTATATTTTCTAGATATACGTCCTTTGTCATACATGCATTTTCTTCCTATTCATGGTTGTCTTTCATTCTCTTAAGAAAAGGAAGGTTTATGATGAAGTTTAATTTCTCTAATATGTTTTTAAGGATATTTTTCCTGTTTACTTTACAATGCACACTTACCAATTATTCTTTAAGTGTGGAACATTTTCTTTCAATACATCTTTTGAATTTTGTATTGTAATGCTCTTAACTTGAAATACCTTGTAAAGGTAATGGTTTTATAAAATTATTCTAGAGCAGGGGTGGGCAAACTTTTTGACTCAAGGGCCACAATGGGTTCTTAAACTGGACCGGAGGGCCGGAACAAAAGCATGGATGGAGTGTTTGTGTGAACTAATATAAATTCAAAGTAAATATCATTACATAAAAGGGTACGGTCTTTTTTTTTTTTTTTTTTTTTAGTTTTATTCATTTCAAACAGGCCAGATCCGACCCGCGGGCCGTAGTTTGCCCACGGCTGTTCTAGAGAATAAATCCATATACTATACATTCTGGGGATCATTTTTATTTACTTCAACAAACATGAACTGATTTATGAAGATTGTCCTTGTTTCTCTCATCTCTCCATGGACTAATAAAAGCTTTGCCACGTACAAAGGCAGGTGCTGAGACCTGCCCTGGAGGCCACCCCCCTGAAGCGTAAAGTCCACTGCATTAGAATCAGGAAAAGAAGGCTGGCTTGCCTCAGATTACTCTTTTGCCAAGGGGATTCTGAGCATATTTCAGCTCTAGAAAAAAAAAGGGAGTGAAGAAAGGGAAAAAATATGACATATGTAAAGCCTTGAGATTCATTTGACAAGTGTCAAGAGAAGAGACTGCCCCTGCAATATATAATACAAAGTCGAATTTCTTACTTGCTAAGGGGAAACTGCTGGCAGAAAACAATCTCTGAGTGAAGCAAAGAGCCCAGTTCATGCCACGGTTAGGGGGAGCCAGCAGCTCAGGGATTGGCTGATTTTTCAGGTCCGGGCGCTGAAGCGGCGCTGGTGCATGGAGCCAAGGACTGGTAGACCAGGGATGGATTAAAATCTGTTCTGCGGCAACTTGTGCTGAGTTTAGTACTAGAGGCAAAGAATCAGTCTTGTCCCTGATAGGAACTTCAAGAAAGAATTTTTTGTGTGAAAAATACAGAATCTCAGTCCCCATCCCACACCTGTTGAATCAGAATCTCTGGTGATGCCCAGGTAGATAACAATAAATTTAACTAGGTATACATATACATATACATATACATATACATATACATATACATATACATATACATATACATATACATAAACATATACATATACAGACACACGCACATATATTTGTCAGTCATGCATTTCCTGGTTAACACAAAACAATGTGAAATTGATTTGGGTTCGTGATCATTTGAGACCATTGGAAACATCCAGAGGCAGAACAAGCCAAGGTGGGGAAATGAATAGAAAGCAGGCTACAATCTCGACAGGCTTCTTTGGAGTCAGCAAAGGCACCAAGAGCATTAACTAGAGTGATCCCGCTTGTGTATCCCCCAACATGGGCGCCCTGCTCTCATGTCCAATTCTTTTCCTCCGCAAAGAGCCTGAATACTGGAGAAGGAAAATCCTCTCGGACTTTGGCCTCCCTTCTATCCCTCAGAGAAAACCTTAGCACATCATAGGCTTAGTTACATACTATGGAGGTCAAAGTTCTTTTTATCATTGCGAAACCAAAGAAACTTTAGATAAATTAGAGTAATTCAGCTTAGTTATTGAGTCATTTACTAAAGCAATTAGCTTATACCATTGTGCCCTTTGGGATACTCAGTTCTATTAGAAGTTCAAGTCTTTATGTTCAGAGCAAATCGGCCCTTTTTTTCAGCCACATGAACTTTACCTAATTATCTGCTCACTTATATTTGACCCTGGATATTTTTAAACTTAGTTACTCCTTTTACCAGTAAAATGCCTAATTTAGTAATACCTATAAGTGTTAAATCAAATATAAATGGTTTTATAACACCAAAAGCAAGAAAAATATCTCTCCTTTCTCACAAACTCTCTCCTTAAAGACAATAGCTTTTAACTGCTTTGGGTATTTCTTGTAGTTACTTCCATACATATATATATATTTTTTTTTTTTAAATGTGGTTACTGTATTAGTTCTCTGGGGCTACTGTAACAAATCACCACAAATTAGGTAGCTTAAAATAACAGAAATCATTCTCAGACAGTTCTGGGGGGCAGAAGTCTGAAACCAAGGTGTTGGCAGGTCCCCAAAGGCTCGGGGGGGGTCGGGGGTGGGTGGGCGCGGGGTGGGAACAAATTTATCTTTGGCTCTTCCTACCTTCCAATTACATCACTCTGATTTCTGCAGATATACATAGTTGGCAAATGTGTACCACCACCAATATAAGATTTCTATCACCCAGAAAAATTTCCTTATGTACATCTCCATTCAAACTCTCCCCGGTCCAGCCAAAAAACAAACAAAAAATACTTTCTTTTGCTTTTATTTTACTACAGATTATATTTTCTTTTTTAATTTAAAATATATATATAAGATGATACAGTATGTATTCTTTTGTGTCTGGCTTCTTTCCCTTAGTATAACGTTTTCGAGATTCAACCATATTGTTACTGCATCAGTAGTTTGCACCGATTATATGGCTATCTCAAAGATTGTCAACCTTTTTCAGCTCAGTACTAAAATTCTGCAGCACACCAAAAAATATATTTTGGGCTGATCTGACGAAAAAAAAATAGATATAATTTTGATACATTCACACCTGATGGCTATTATTGTATTCACTGTTGTCAATTTTTTTATTTGACAAGTTAAGGGAAAAGAGGTCAGTGCCATGACTAAATAGTCAGGTATTGCATGTTTTAAAATTATTGCAGTACACCAGTTGAAAATTGCCAGGCTATATCACAATTTGTTTATTTATTTCACCTATTAATGTTTCCACTTGGAGACTATCCTATATAATAAAACCCTAATATGCAAATCAACTGAACGGTGGAACAACAGGTTGCTATGATGTGCACTGACCACTGGTCGGGGGCAGCTCCTACATTGAGCATCTGCCCACCGAGACAGAGGCCACCAGCCAAGGCTGGTGTCAGCAGGGGGCCCACCAATCGCTCCACCCACTGGTCGCCCCACAGATGGCCCTGATCACTGGTCAGGCCTACGGACCCTACCCTATATAATGGGAACAGTCTCTTAGATTTAAAAATTAAAACCTGGCAAGGCTACTCTAACACTGAAGAAACAGGATGATGCAGGGATGACATGCATGGACTCTGGCTTGCACATTTTATGGTCAGCCCTGATTCTGACACTTATAACTGTGGGACAAAGCCAATTACTTAACTTCTCTCTGCTTCAGTTTTTCCACCCATAAGATGGGGGAAATGGTACTACTGCCTCAGAAGCATCATGTTATGTACTACGTCTTATAATCAGGGCAAAAAAAATGTAGCTGCCCATACAACAGCAAGATGCCTTTCATCTGTATGAAAAGTATGGTCACTGGTGCATGCAGCATTCCAGACTGTGAGAGGGATGTCTGACTGCTGGTTTAGGCCTGACATCCCCTGAGGGGTCCCAGATTGCTAGAGGACGCAGGCTGGGCTGAGGGACAGCCCTCCACACTCCACCCTTGCACAAATTGCATGCACCAGGCCTCTAGTTGTGAATAATACCACAATGAACATTCATGTACAAATCTTTACATGGACATAGGTTTTCATTGATCATTTAAAAACCTCTTTTCGTGAAGTACCTATTTAACATATATTTTTTTATTTTTAATTGGGTTGATTCTCTCATTATTGAGTCATAAAAATTTTTCAAATCTTTTAAATGCAGTCCTTGGTCAGATGTATCCTAATATTCCTGGAATACAGTCTAATGATACTTCCCAAGAAGGGCTAAATACTGTGGTCCTTAGATATCTAAAAATATCTTTATTTTCCTTTAGTCATATTTTAAATTTTGACTAAGTATAGAATTCTAGTTTGAGCACCTTTTTTTTTACTACAACTTTGAACATTGTCTTCTAACTTTAGGATTAGTGTTGAAAATATAATATCTGTCTGATAACCAGTTCTGGTTGATTTTCCTTTCCCTCTTTCGAAACTTTTAAGTTTATTACTTATCCTTCATAACATTAAGTTTGACTAATTTTCTACCTTCTTGTTGGGCTTTTTTCAATAACTGACCTAGGCACGTGGGTCCTATCAACTTGAACACTGATTGATGTTCTTTTCTGTTCTGTTTTGTTAATCCTCGCCCAAGGATATTTTTTTCCATTAATTTTTTTAGAGAGAATGGAAGAGAGGGGGAGAGAGAGGAACATCATTGTGAGGGAGACACATTCATTGATTACCTCCCTCTCTCGACCTGGTCAGGGCCAGAGATGGAGCCTGCAACTGAGGTACATGCCCTTGACCAGAATCGAACCATCCCAGGGCCCATGCTCTAACCATTGAGAAAACCAGTTAGGGCTGACTAATGTTCTTCATCACTGGTTAGGAGCATAGCCTCTAGTGTCATGCTACCACCATACTAACTTCAGACCATTGGAAATGGTTTATAACTTACCTGATATGAGGATTTAATTAATTAATACAGTTCAGTAAATAGCAGAGCATTATATTATTACTGTTATTACCATTGGTTGTATATTAGTATTATCAGTAGTATAATCACCATTAGTAGTAATAATATTAGCATCACTTTTGTAGTATCCTCTCATCTCTTCTCCCTTTCTGGGATACCAATTTTTTCTATATTTTTTACTGATTTCAGAGAGGAAGTGAGAGGGAGAAAGAGATAGAAACATCAATGATAAGAGAGAATTACTGATCAGCTGACTCTTGCACACCCCACATTGGGTATCGAGCCCACAACCCAGGCATGTGCCCTGACCAGGAATTGAACCGTGACCTCCTGGTTCATGGGGCAACACTCAACCACCGAGTCACACCAGTCAGGCTGGGATACCAATTATTGACATGCTGGACACTTTGGGTTGACTTTGTTGTTTCTTTTCTTTCTCTCTTGTGTTGTCTCTGTGTTTTTGTTATGTTCCCTGGATAATCTCATTGAGTTTATCTTTCATCACTAATATCAATATGTTTGGTAATTATGTTTTTAACTTTTAAGGACACTTGTTCTTCTGAATGTTCCTTTTCATTGCATTCTGTTCTTGCTTTCTACGTGCAATTCTCCTTGACGCTATCTAAGAATACATATTAGAGTGTGGAGATTTGTTCACTTTTTTTCATTGCTTTCTTTACATAAGCCTTTGCTCATTGACTGTATTCTGCCAGGAGAGAGGAACCTCAGAGGTCTGTGTCACCTCGAAAGCTCGACCCCAGCCCTGGAGCAACATTCATATGCCCAAGAATAGACCACAAGCTATGGAGGTGGCTGGCTTCAAGGGCTCAGGAGGAGTTGGCACCTTAGCATCTCAAAGGCACCAGCAGACGCAAAGACCAGAGGACCCTCACTGAGTGCCACACTCTGTGTTAGACCCTTGGATCCTTGTTGAAATCTGAGAGAGGGACAGCCCACGGACCTCCTCCTGGCAGCCCTGCTGACTAAAGGCTTGGCATCAAATTAAATTTGGCTTGAAGAAATGTTTCAATTTGTATACATCCAAGATTTTGGAGTTATTCACTATACCTCTTATCTACATATCCCTTTTTCCCCTAAACTATCAAGTCCCGAATTCACATCTTTATTTCTACTTCCCTTTAAAAAAGAAAGATCTCTATATTCCCAAGTTCCTTGAATTTCCATGTACCACTCTTGTACATTATCTCTTCCTAAGAATCTGCTTTGAACTATACTTTCCTCCTTGAAAGTTTCTTTACAATCATGAGCAAAGTAGTGTATTTGTTGTATTCCAACTCTAGGTTTTATTATGATTGCTCTACAGAATATATTGTTGCATTAACAGTATCAGATTTTCTGCCAATCTTTAATTCTAATTATTTTCATCAGTCATTTCATGTTATATGGCCATGTCTGCAAATTGGGTGAGAAGAATGTGGAAGAAAACAGCACAGCTCATGGAAGCAATACAATCCATCTCCTCTCCAGATCAGCCTAACATTCC